GGTATCTCAAGTGTGGCTTTCATTTGTATTTCCCTGATTATGAGTGACATTGAGCATCGTTTCATGTGTCTGTTGGCCATCTGGATGTCTTCTTTGGAAAAGTGTCTATTCATGCCTTCTACCCATTTTTTATCTGGGTTATTTGCTTTTTGGGTGTTGAGCTTGATAAGTTCTATATAGATTTTGGACACTAGCCTTTTATCAGATATGTCATTTGCAAATATCTTTTCTCATTATGTCGGTTACCTTTTAGTTATGTTGATTGTTTCCTTTGCAGTGCAGAAGCTTTTTATCTTCATGAGGTCCCAATAGTTCATTTTTGCTTTTAATTCCTTTGCCTTTGGAGATGTAACAAGTAAGAAATCCCTGCGGCTGAGGTCAAAGAGGTTGCAGCCTGCTTTCTCCTAGGGTTTTGATGGTTTCCTGTTTCACATTCAGGTCTTTCATCCATTTTGAGTTTGTTTTTGTGTATGGTGTAAGAAAGTGGTCTAGTTTCATTCTCCTGCATGTTGCTGTCCAGTTCTCCCAGCACCATTTGTTAAAGAGACTGTCTTTGGGGCGCCTGGGTGGCTCAGTCGGTTGAGCGCTCGACTTTGCCGCAGGTGAGGGGATGTGAGATGATCTCACAGTTCGTGAGTTCAAGCCCCGCATCGTGCTCTGTGCTGACAGCTCAGAGCCTGGAGCCTGCCTCGGATTCTGTGTCTCCCTCTCTCTCTGCCCCTTCCCCGCTCATGCTCTGTCTCTCTCTGTCTCTCAAAAATGAATAAACATTAAAAAATAAATAAATAAATAAAATAAAATAAAGAGACTGTCTTTTTCCATTGGATACTCTTTTCTGCTTTGTCAAAGATTAGTTGTCCATATATTTGTGGTTTCTCTATTCTATTCCATTGGTCTATGTGTCTGTTTTTGTGCCAATACCATACTATCTTGATGATTACAGCTTTGTAGTAGAGGCTAAAGTCTGGGATTGTGATGCCTCCCATGTTGGTTTTCTTCTTCAATATTAGTTTGGCAATTTGGGGTCATTTGTGTTTCCATACAAATTTTAGGGTTGTTCTGACTTTGAGAAGAATGCCAGTGCAATTTTGATTGGGATTGCGTCGAATGTGTAGATTGCTTTGGGTAGTATTGACATTTTAACAATATTTATCCTTCCAACCCATGAGCATGGAATGTTGTTGCACTTCTTTGTATCTTCTTCAATTTCCTTTATAAGCTTTCTATACTTTTCAGCATACAAATCTTTTACATCTTTGGTTAGGTTTATTCCTAGGTAACAACCAACAAGGATAGGGTGATTTACAGCATATAGCAAAAACAGTAAACTTTGACACTCAAAAGAATAATAACTTCAGAACTTCTTGTAAGTTATAAAACATTTCTTTGTCACAGAAATCAGTCATAATATATTGTAATAACGTCTGTATCCATTTGGTTCTGTCTCTTCAAAGTATGTTCTCCCCCCCCCCCCCCCCCCCCCCCCCCCAAGACTAACATACTATGATCTTCTAGGTTCAGGATAAATTCCGACTAGACCTGTCTGATGAAGAGGCCGTGCATTACATGCAGAGTCTGATTGATGAAAGTGTCCATGCTCTTTTTGCTGCAGTGGTAGAACAGATTCACAAGTTTGCCCAGGTAAGTTCTCAGTGCAGTGGACTTTATCTCTGCCTCCCCGTGTCCTACCCCAGAGTCCTCAGAGAGCCATACTTTTCTCCTGCTAATGATGCCTTTTCCTTATTTTCTTTGTCAAGTCGTTTTTGCCATCTCAGCAGCCAGCCACTGTGAACATGCTGCGTACATTATCAATTCTAAAACAGCCCACTGAAATTTTCTTAGTCGTCAGCTAAATTGTGGAGTATTAGCATTGGTGTATTTGTCCTTTGGCGTCAGTGGTGATTGTAAACCTTCCTTGAGAATGATCATGGGTCTAACGGTGGCCTTGGCAAGTGAGACTTGAGCACATGTTGGGTTTTCACAAATGGTGAAGTGCTGGGAAAGGAGTTTTGAAGCTGAGTGAAGCAGTGCGCATCATGTATGGAAAAGGTCTGTCTGTAGCCTTACTGTTAGCAGAAGCTTGCATACAAATGTCTGAGGGAGGGAGACCTTTTCACACTAGCCTGTGATGCTAAACCTCAGGTTTAAAGCCTGGTTTCATTATGAATTTCATAATGAGGATGATTATGAAAATGGTGAGCAAACAGAAAAATAAGACCTCTTTCCCTCTGTCCCCTACCCTCACACTCTTCTCCTTGTGCACCCTTTCCTCACTTTGCATATTCTGTTGGTAATTTTACTAATCACCCAAGCTCAAAGCCTGTCCACTTGACTTCTCCCTCACCCGGTACCATTGTACCACCAAGCCTTGCCAGTTTAACTATTTCTTTAATTACCATTTTCTATCATTTTTGGACTCCTAACATTTTAATCCATTTTTTGCTCTTTACGATACCTTGGATAACTAAAATGCTTTATAACTCTTCTCTCTGTTTTAGCCTTTTTTTTTCTGTAAGCATTTTTTATTCTAAATATCAGATATATTTTCACAATATAATGTTTTACTTTGTCCTCTCGCCCCCCTTGTTAATGTCAATGTGCAGTGTTTCCCCGTTGCCTAACAGTGAAGACCGGTCTCTGGAAGTTCAAGGCCTTCCAGGATTGTATTCCAAGCTACTTTCCAAGCTGTTTCCCTAATACTGTCTCTGAATATTTTGATCTCTTCTGTCTCTGTGATTACTTTGCAGCTGCCATTTCGTCAGCACCAGAACATCCATCTTTTCTTATAATGAATCTTTGGTAAACTTATGCTTACCAAATCCAGTCTGTCCACCAAGATGTATTCTTAATGCCACTTTGATTGATCTTCCTCTGGATATTTATAATACTTTTAACTTATTGAGTTGCACTTATATTTGCTTTCTGTTATAGATATTTGTTAACGTTTATTTATTTTTGAGACAGAGAGAGACAGAGCATGAATGGGGGAGGGTCAGAGAGAGGGAGACACAGAATCTGAAACAGGCTCCAGGCTCTGAGCTGTCAGTACAGAGCCCGATGCGGGACTCGAACTCACAGACCACGAGATCATGACCTGAGCCGAAGTTGGCCGCTTAACTGACTGAGCCACCCAGGTGCCCCTCTATTATAGATATTTGGATTCTTGTCTTATAACTCCTAAAATGCAAACTTCTTGAAGTCAGGGCTATATCTATTACTCACCTATTAGTACAATGGCTTATCCACTTAAAAAATATCCAGTGAACTTAAAGGGGTGTCTTCCTGTAGATGTTAGCCTATACTCTTTTCCTGGCTTAACAAAAAGTTTCTTCTCCCAGAACACCAATTCAGGTCATATTTTATTATAAGGACCAAATCAAGTTCTGCGTCCTAGGTTATTAATCCTATCCAGTCAATTCTCAAGAGAATAAACTGTGATTCAGATGGTATGTAAGTGATTTGTCTAGCTAATGGTGAATCTGAGTCCACACATAATACAGCAGAGTGTTTTATTTTTTTTATTTATTTTTTTTTTAATTTTTTTTTCAACGTTTTTATTTATTTTTGGGACAGAGAGAGACAGAGCATGAACAGGCGAGGGGCAGAGAGAGAGGGAGACACAGAATCGGAAACAGGCTCCAGGCTCTGAGCCATCAGCCCAGAGCCTGACGCGGGGCTCGAACTCACGGAACGCGAGATCGTGACCTGGCTGAAGTCGGACGCTTAACCGACTGCGCCACCCAGGCGCCCCAACAGCAGAGTGTTTTAGAGCAATAGAAGCAATAGAATAGGATAGAAGTCCAGAACGGTTTAATGACTTAGCCATCTTCATGTGGCTAACAAAGAAGGGACAGAACCAAAACTTGAACCCAGATCTTCTGACTTCCATATCTAGTATTTTGAAGCCAGTTCTCTTGTCAACATTTTGCTCACCACTATTTATATTATGTGTTAATGAAATTTTCTGTGGCATAGCCCACGCAATCCTGTTATTTTCTCTCCCTTTTTCTTTCCCTTTATTTTTTAAGTTATTTATAAAATTTTTTTTAATGTTTATTCATTTTTGAGACAGAGTGTGAGTGGGGGAGGGGTAGTGACAGAGAGGGGGTGACACAGAATCCAAAGCAGTTTCCAGGTCTGAGCTGTCAGCACAGAGCCTGATGCCGGCCTCGAACTCACAGACCATTAGATCATGACCTGAGCTGAAGTTGGATGCTTACGTGACTGAGCCACCCAGGCGCCCCTCTTTTTATTTTTTTTTTTAAGACAGAGAAAGACATGGAGCACAATGGGGGAGGGGCAGAGAGAGGAAGATACAGAATCCAAAGCAGTCTCCAGGCTCTGAGCTGTCAGCACAGAGCTGGATGCCAGGCTTGAACTCATGAACTGTGAGATCATGACCTGAGCCAAAGTCAGACACTTAACCGACTGAGCCACTCAGTCGCCCATCTCTCTCTGCCTTTTTCTATGTACACCTTTTGTTTTTCTTTTTTAATACTCAAATAGTTGTAACATGTGTGAGGTTAGAAACTTTTAACTTCTGTGTCTTTGCATTTCCTTTAGAGTTGGTTATTTATATTTTATTTTGCTCTGTCCTTATTGACAACTGTACAAATTTCTCTCCTTCATGGGTTTTCTTTCTTGTATACTTGAAGCTTCTCATTTTTCTCCCTTATTTTCCTGGACATTTATTTACCATATATAATGGAGCTAAAATTCCACACTTGAAATTAATGCAGCTGCCTAACACCTCATTTCAGATTATCTGTAGCTATGTAACAAACCTGAACTTCCTAGCTTAAAAAACTTAAAAAAACTTCTTATAATTCTCTAGTCAAGATTTCAGCCAGAGCCCAACCACATGGTTCTTTTGTTTCCTGTTACGTCAGGTGGGTTCACTATTCAGCTGCTTTCAGCCCATGATTGGGTTTGTCTGAAGGGCCCAGAAGGTTTCACACATCTCTTTGGTGCTCTTCCAGACGGCCTCTCCACTTCTGTCACCACTCAGGACTCTAGCCGGGGCTGCTGTTCTACTGCATGGTGACTGGCTGCTCCACAGGAACGCGAGAACAGAAGCAGCAGGCCTCTTAGAGCAAGTCTCAAGGCCAGCCCCTGTTCTCAGGAACAAGAGATAGAGTGTTCTCTTGGGAGGAGAAGGATTAAGTGTTACATCTTTGAAGGCTTAACTACCACTTATTTGATACAATCCAGGTTAAAGTTTGAGCCTTCAAGTTCTGTAAATGAACTTGTGGCATACTTTACTATAGTTTTGAAATTGTGTTGTCAATTACATAAGATGCCTGTTTTTGCATTGCTCACTCCATCTAAGAATAGAAAGACTCTTTCTCTTAATATTCTGTGTTAAAAATAGAGGAGACAGAAAGCTAGATTAAAAAAAAGGGACCACATATTATCTGGGGGAGGTAGTAATAGAGGCACCTTCATTTACCAATGTCTCTGGGCCTCAGTTTCCACATCGGTAAAGTGATTGGTATTGAGGTAAAAACTAATATAAATGTAATCTATAATCAGAGATGTACAAAGGTCACTTGCTTTCCATATATAAAGCTTATACTGACTACTACAAAAACTAAAAGTAAATGAAACCCCCAGCACTGATGGTTAAATTATGAAGGTTGTTGAGAACTAAGAGTTGATACACATACCTTTAATGTTCACAGAGAAAATATGAATATGGGTGATAAATTGGTAATAGAAATGGATGTATTCTTAGATGTGGGAAGGATCATTTTATACATATGAACTAATGGATGATTATATTTCTTGGAAAGAAGTATTAAGTCTTTTAGGTTTCTATTTTCTTAGAAATCCTGGATAAATAGTTATTTGATCTTACTTGGTCTTCGTTGTTACAAACTTTCTTGGGCTAGGATAGATTCTTGATAACAAAATAGTGTTATTATCTAAAATTAAGGCTGTAGCAGCATGAATATTAATAAGAGCAAATATCTGGATTATTCCAGTGACTTAATACTACCAGCATCATCCCAGACAGGTAAAAGTGGAGGTTTAATGCAACATGAATATTTATGTAGACAAAAATTTTTAGACCATCTCTCTCAGCTGTCTACTTTATAATGACAGATAACAGTGTCTGAGACAACAATAGCCATACGTTATTTATTTGAACTTTGTATTTCATATAGTGCTTCGCTATTTTTTAATATTATATAATCCTTAACAACCACAAAAGTGAGTTTTAACATTCTCTTCTTTTATAAATGAGAAGGCTGAGCCACATAAAACGTTTCCTAACTTATTAAATTCAGGTCTTTACCAGAATATCCCCTTTTCTACATCCTAAGAGATGAACTTGAAAATGCTCATGCTATCTGAGGTTTCCTTAAATATATTTGTCACCTGTGTCTGTACTCTTGTGCAACTGAAACAATATCAGAATAAGAATAAACTAAGGATGTTTGATTTCATTGGAATTTTTTTAGGCATTGAGGGTTACAGGAGACACTGAGTAAAGTTTTAACTTCACATAGTCTTTTGAAATTATCAAATGACAGAAGCATAGCTATATCTAAACTGAAGTTTATTTTCTTCTTGAAACTCACACTCCTAAATGCAGTATATTTTCTAAATAGTGACTATGTATCTTTTTTAGGTAGTGATACTAATAAATTATTTGCACATGCAAATCCGGGTGACCAACATCTGTTTCTTCTGGTCACTCAAAGCATTTATTATAAAGATGTACGTTGCTAAATGAGTTTGGCTAATTTCAGTGCATTCCTATTAATCACTGTGGATTGTAGGACAGTTTTCTAAAAATGGAGATAAATTAATTGATACATGTTAACAAAAACTATAGTTTTTCAGCATAAAAGAAATTATAGTCTATAAGAAGACCACAAAATTGCCACATAGAACTATTATGTTGCAATGCTGAAAAGCCTTATTTTCTTCCATCATACCATTTGCTAGGAAGGGTAGAGATTAAACACTGCAATATATGTTGCCTAGCAACACCCACCTATTAGTGATACAAATTTTCCACTGAAAAACACTTTTATTTAGGTCATTGTCTTTGTAATTGCTTCATCAGAACTCTTGTCTCCACTGAAATGGTCTTTAAAAGGCTTTCTAGTCTTAGCTGCACAGAAGGGTAGAGGTCACTTAGTTTGGGGCACTTACTGCACTAAAACTAGGCCTTTGGATGGTGATCTCTCACAGTACAACCGATTTCTTCCCTGTTTTTACTTTCTCCTGTCTCTCTTTTTACCGATTGATGATAGAAGGCTAGAAAGTGGGGTGTGGTTTCCAATCATTTTAATACTTAGAGGTGCATTTTTTGCAGACTGAGAGTAAAGCAGTAACAGATCAGGTTCAGAAAGTTTGCCTAAATTCCAGCCCAAGATACCGAGAACACATTACTGCTATACGTTTGGCAAGAATCCTTACTTAGCCCCTGTGGTGTTCAAGGGGGAAAAGCACAGGTCCAAGCAGAGGGGCACCTGAACTTAACACTTGAGGTAAAGTTATGTGCCTTTAGCTGAAGAGAATTCAACTATACATACTGTGGGGATTAAAAGAAAAATGAAAGGAGAAAAACAATGTGGTTGTTCTACCTGATGTTTTTCCTGAAGAGCATACGTCCTCTAATAAATGTGAGAGGAGCTCCTTTGGTAATGTTTCAGACCCAGTGTCTCCCATGACTGTGCTGCATGTGATTCCAGTATTGAAGATTCTCGTGTTTTGCACAACACGGCTTCGGAGTACAGGCAATCTATCTGCCCCATCTGCTGCTCAGAGAAACAAGTTGTTTTGCGTCAGTATTAAGGGAAAAGCTTCCTGTTTTGGACTTTTGGGGGAGATAACTGTCTGCAATGTGTTTCCTTGTGAAGGGCTTTTCTCGAGTAATCGTGTTTTTTTGTGTTGCTATTTTACCTTTGTGTACTGACCTTACCACTGACCACAGTGTAGATGTTTGCACTGTGCCTGCTCTACCCTCTACTCTCCCGTGAGAGCACATAGATGCAGAAGATGCCCGCAGAGAGGAGAAGAGAGCATCATTTCTGAGTTTATGTTATATGGACCGTATTTTACCATTTGGAATAAAGGACGACAGTATAAAATATTTTATTGAACAAAACAAAGAGTATTAAATTCTTTAGCCAAAGAGAAATTTTTTCTCAAGAAACAAACTTTTTTTTTATTAAATAATTTTCTAAAGAGTCAGATGATTCCCAGACCAGTGGCTTAAATAAATATCATAATGCCAGTATATCATACAAAACTATTTTATATCATTTTGTGTCTCCCATCTGATCTATTCCTAATTTGTTTGAATTATCCTGGGAGGAATAAAAATTAACAACAAAGAAACAGCAATAATAGTAGTAATTACAGCCTATTGAACACTTGGATGTACCAGGAATTATGTAAAGAGATTTCTCTGCTTTGCCTTGTTTAATCCTCACACCTGTGAAGTGTGTATATCACCAGGCCTGTTTCATCGATGAGAAAACCGAGGCTGAAGTTAAATAACATACACAAGGTCTCGTGGTTAATAGGGGACAAAAGTCCAGAATCAAACCCAGACCTGTGGTTGTAGAAATAGACAGTAGTTTCTAAATCATGTTTTTCTTGATACACGTTAAAGCTTTAATTTAATGGAGGTGAATGGATTTTTTTGTGAGTAGCGAGTTTTAAAAAATACACTTGTAAATAAAAAAAGAAATGATCTTTAATTTTTCTTTGATCTTTCATCTGCCCAGTGAAAGAAAAAGTCAGCTGTGCAGACAGACAATGGAGTATGATATAAAAAGGAGCCATTGGGAGTAGTTACTCCCAGGTAAATATGGTAAATGTGGGACAACGTTTATTTTGCACGTTGGTCATAAACCAGTCTTGCTTGAATTTTATTGACCCACATGTGCTCTCTGTTGCACTGCTGTCAGCACCACGGCACGAATAGCCATCAAAACCTGTGACATTTATTTTTTTTTT